CCTTCGTCTTTTTCCCTGACGGAAGAGTTTGCGTTTATTTCTCCTAGTAGAAAAATTCCTTCTACTCAGTTCCATTGTATATTTTTGATGCTTGCAAAATAAATTATTTTCAGTGTCACATTGTATGCGGAATTCTTGCCAACGCAACAAAGGGCGAAATGCGTAGTGCTCATCGAATCGTTCTGGGCGATCGGGGCCGCTTTCGAAGCACTCCTGGCATATCTCGTCATGGCCACATGGGGCTGGAGAGCTCTAGTACTGCTCTCATCACTGCCACTGGGATTGTTTGGGATTCTTTCCTTTGTGAGTGTGTTCATGTTCAAAAGGAAGACGTGATAATTAGAATTCTTGCACTTGATCGCCCCTTTTAGTGGCTTCCCGAATCAGCCCGTTATGACATGGCTTCCGGTCATCCAGAAAAAGCTTTGGCAACCTTACAAAAGGCTGCAAAAGAGAATCGCGTAAAACTTCCCGAGGGAAAGCTTGTTGCCGGTCATTCTCGAACTGTGAGTCAATTTAACTCTATTTAGCAAGAAGGGTGATTGTTTTTGGAATAATTTTGATACTCCTCTGACTTCACCGCTCAGGTTTGACGTTCCTTGAGGAATTCGAAAGTTCGAGAAAGTTGCGTTTTCACAGAGTAATCGCCGTGACATACGCCGCAAATTATATGAAGAATTGGATAAACACTGCAGGCGCAGTTGGACTTGTTGGGGGCACCAAATGCTACTCGGCGAGGGTTATTCAAACCACCTGAGGACCTGCGAATTCGTGTAACAAAACTGGTCACGTTTACCGTTTCGCATCTTTCCAAAGGTTTCTAGGTGTTCACCTGTCCCCCTAGCTGCCCCCCCCCCCCCCTTCGACGCGAAAGCGCTAACCATAAATGCCACTGTGCCTTTTCGATCATACGACGGCAACTTTGCCGATGAATTTGAGACTGAAGTGCTCCGTGATTCTTGAAATGTAACGCAATAGCTACGTCTACCACACTCGCCGTGACATACAGTGGTCATCCGGGGCACTTGATTAGGGCGGCAAGGGTCGCGACGCGGCTGCGGCGTGTCACGAGCGCGGCGATCAGCTGTTTCCAGCTATTTTCGGCCATTTTCTCCCCAATTTCGCACTGTTGTGGCTGCTTTTCTCGAAATTAGTTGTTCCTTGTCTTCACAAGGTAAATTATGATTGAGATTCCTCTGTTTGGTTTTTTTTTTTGCTCGTAATTAATCAGCATAACGAGTTAGGCAGACATTTGAACAAACACCTAAAAAATCGCAAAAACACTCTATTACAGAAACAAAAAAGACTGCACGTCTCAATGCACTTCATAAAGACAAACAATACAACCCTTGAAAAAAAACAGAAAATACTGAAAATTAGGGAGAAAAATGACCAAATTAGGCCGGAAACAGCTGATCGCCTCGGTCGTGACGCGCCGCAACCGCGTCGCGACCCTTGAAGCCCTAATCAAGTGCCCGGATGACGATGTACATCATGGTACATGTCACTCTGCTTTTCGCTCAAGCTGAGCGTTTCCAGTCCGACCTACTCATAGTTTTTTTTAATGTTCCAGCCTGCAGTTAGGGCGCAATTCTGCAAAATACGACACCCCCCCACCTCCCCACAATATTTTCTCTTCTGCTGCGACCCCTCTTCCCACCCTAACTATCATCTTACTTAGTCGCCCAACACTTTGCCGGTCTTCCCGATTTTCACAAGAAATCTTCTGGTTCCTTCCAAAAACTGCGTTGAGTGGTCGAGCGAGAGGGGGGGGGGAGAAGGTCCTCTCCAGAGTCAGCTATCACATCAGTGTTTCACTGTGGTGTTACGGTGCTGCCAACTAGGAGGGGGGGGGGAGGAGGAAGGCAACACTCTCGGAAAATCTCGTGCTGAGCCAAGCACGACGTACTGATGAGAATCGTCGAAGTACGGCGTGTCCTGTTCACAGGAAATGTACTGTTTTTCTCGATCATATTTTTGCATTTTTTTCAGACTGAGAAACGTGGTGATATTATCGATCTGCTGTCACCAGATCTACGTCGTACTACACTGCTGTTGTGGTTAATTTGGGCCGTGAATGCCTTCTCGTACTACGGTATGGTCCTGTTCACTACTGTACTCTTCCAATCCCATGACGAATGTCATGGTGGACTGTTCTCGAATGGCACACACTTCGAAACGTGCCAACCACTTACACGGAAAGACTACTTCGATTTATTGTCGACAACGATGGCCGAGTTTCCTGGTACGTTTATCGACAGGATTGAATCGTTTTTGACATATTTCACGCTAGTAGTAGGGGCGGAGCCGGGCCTAGCGCCCTATTTTTTGTGCTGTGGCCCACAATTTTTGGGAGTGAGGAACTTGTCAATGAGGAAAGATAATGTGATAGCAATGGCATGATAAGCTAAAGATAATGGGTAAGGTCAACGACGAAATAGGCCTTGCTCCGCCCATACGATAAGCGTGGAATTTGCTCTTCGCGCGCGTCCCTGAACTGCATTTTCAGTAATTTAATAGCATGAGACGCTGGATAAATCTTTCTGTTCTCTTCTTCCTTCTTACAGATTTACTGGGAAGGCAAATTTTCATTTCTTGAACTTTTTTTCGCGGCGCTCTAACGAAAGCAGACCAGGAACGAGTATTAGTCTTTTTCAGGGCTAATAATCACTGTAGTGATCATTGAATGGTTGGGTAGAAAGAAGACGATGGCTCTGGAGTTTGCGGTGTTCTCAGTTTTCACATACTCTCTATTCTTTTGTCTGGATAGGTAATTTAATAGTTCTTTTCGTTTTTATTACCTCACACTTCTTTTCAAATTGTTTTCAAACTCATGTTTGTCACGTTCGCTACAGGACCATCGATGTTTCTTTTACAAAATATTTGTGGACTATTCATATTTCACTGCCCCACTCTTCAAAATTCAAGCCAGATTTGGACCGCAATGCTCCTTCTGGGGTAGATTCCGCCAGAGGTTCAGTCTCGGGGAAGATTAACTGCACGAGTATCTTATCCTTTGAAACGAAAGCGGTTGGCGACCACGCCACGGTCGCCAGCGTCGCAGATAGTTCTGGCTCCAAAATGCGTCCATAGCGCACGCAAAATGCGCTTTCAGGCCAATTCAATGGTATACTAGTGTTCAGGAGTTCCAAATACCTATGAGAACAAGATTTTTAACAAATTCGGTTCTCTGAGTTTGTTATGTATCGGGCCACAGCGGGTATGGACCCAGTGTTCGAGCGGGCGGTGAACCCTGCGAGAGTACAAGATTCCAGCTTGATTTACCCACGGAAAAACTCTTTGACCAAAATCTGACCAGAAATTCAACGAGTGCTGCAATTAAGATCAAATAGTGCCATGCTCCTTAATGGCACCGCAAGTTCTCGGAAGAAAGCGTCCACAGTTGCGGTCCGTGCGCAGGTGGTCAATACTTACCGCGTCACGCTGCGTGGCCACTGACACCGGATGTGTGATTTAAAGACAGTTGCACGTGCGTTTTACGACTTAGCCTAAAATGCTAGTAGGGCGCTGTATAGTGGGGAAATGGCGAAAGAACGGAGTGAAACGGTCAAAATCCTGCGAAGAAAAAGCCTCCGTTCTCAGTGACTTGTAAATCGATTTCGGACGAGTTTCCCGTACGCATCTTGCCAATCACCGCTACCGAAGATACGGCTGCATATACTCCTCATCATTACGGACTGTCGGGGCGGGTCAGTGCGGCTGCGTTTTCCGCGGTTCCAAAGTCTTTCTGCACCAGTTGTTGAAGCGATCAAATGACATAACAGCATTATATCCTTCGTATTACTCGTTTTCTACCACTTTTTGTCGCATACGCGCTTCAAAGAAAAGGCTGAGAAACGGCCTGCAAACAGTGTGCGCACTCCTTCTGGCTGACACGCATCATCGGTCCGCAATGATGAGGACTGTACAGTGGAGCGCTCACCGGACGGTGGGGCGTTCCCTACGGCCACGCCGGCGAGCGTTCCGCTGATTGCGTGTCGATGGAAAGCCGAGAAATTGTAGGAAGATTATCATCGTTGCCTCTCCGTCTCTGACACTGTCTCTGCGCTCTAACACACCCCGCCGCGCCCTCTACTCACTCTTCCGTTCTGGACTCTCGACGATCGATAATGGCTGACGCTCTCAATCAGCTGATTCCTGCCGTATTTTTTCTCCGAATTCCTGTTGTATTCAGCTTGGAAGAGCTGAGATTTCTCGACTTTCGGCTACAGTC